GGGTTCCAACCACCCAGATTTCCGTTTTCTCAACCCCTACGACTTGCTCTTTGTGAATCACCACGTTAATGCGTTCTGGGTGGGGTTTCAACAAACCGATGGCGTTGCGCAACAGGTGTCGCGCCATCATCCACATCGTGAGCGGAGCTTCGCCGGACCCCGTGGGAGACTTCCGAGCGATCAATCAGGAGCTGGCGCTGTTTTCTGAGGCATTGGCCGTGAAACCACAGGAAAGGTTAAGGTTGTAGCAGAATCTGGGTGCGTACAGTCGTCGCCTAGTCTTTTCGGGCACGGGCTTGTCACTCTGACGAGGTATGCTTAGTTTGTTGTTTCACCGAGGTGCTGGAGACGACCCATCTTGGCAGGGGTTTTGGCTTTGGGCTCGGGGTGTTCCATTTGGTATGTAGCGGTACGGTTTTTTTCCCGTTATACCTGGTTTCATGCGATAGCCATGTGTCTGAACTTGTGATGCCAGCCTCTGTTTGATCCTTGATTTTCCATAGATATGGCTCACGTGTTTGTGGAAACCTGTCTATCCTGGACCATTACAACTGAGCTTCCTGTCTCTTTTATTTCGCCTTCCTTCTGCGTACATGTCAGCAGCCTCTGTTTCGTTTTTTTTTCCACATGGCCCAAGCGTCTTGGTGTGAAACCTGTTTTTCCTTAATCATGAACTGAAATATCTCGTCTCTGTTCGTCCGCCTTTTAGTTCGGTTTTCGTGCAAGAATAAAAAAAAAAACATCCCCATTCACACAACATCAGAGCCTCGGAAAATTAGTACTTTGTTTTGTTCCCTTGCAGGTAGCGTTTCTGACTTACCTGTGCTTGTATTATCTCCGGGCAGCGCACAGCAGTGATATCTGCTTTGTTTTTTTGTTTTGCTTTTTTTGTCGTTGTTATTGCAGGTTGTGGTGCTGAACAAGATCGACCTTCCGGAGGTTGAAGACCGTCGGGAGGAGCTAGAGACCGCCCTCAAGGAGCACATGGGACACACTAGGTACAGCAACGTTTTCCCTCCCCCAACGATGTGTCGTCGTGTTGCACACTGTTTTTTTTTTTCGCTTTTGTTGGGTGGCCGTTCCTTTCGTGGTGGACGTCGTATCGCGCGCTGTCAATATTGCTATGGTCGCTTGAGAAGGAAGGATGATGTAGGCGTCCGATCGTAGGTCTCCTTACGGACCAAGCGATAATTCCGCCCTTGGCACTCTCCCTGGCATCGTTGTTTCAAGTTTTCAATCGCAGGAGGGGCATCAGGAACAGCGGAAACTATTATTGCTACGTGAATTCCAGCGTTCAGATGTCGCTGAAGTTGGCAGAACGCCTGATCTGGCACGCCAGCAGCATCTGTATTCTGGGGTTTAGGTAGCAATGGTTGCTGCTTGCTGTTCCTGATGCCTGTGTGATTGAAAACAGAACCCTCTTGTACTTTGCCCCCCTGTAGCGTGTGTGTTATTGCTAGTTTCTTGCAATCTGTGCGCCTGCTACTGGATCACGTTCAGGCCCACCCCGGGCAGATAACTAGAGCCGCGCCAGGCAGCACCGTGGGTTGCTTTCGATATCACACACCCTGGACCGATTTTCAGAGCTAGATTACGCTGCGGCAGAATATTACGACGGAAAGCCGCGTTGGAATCTCTTCGAAAGCTTTCCGAAATCGCACCAATTGAGTTTGGCATCCTCGTCGTCGTGGGGTAGTCGTGCTTTGGAAATCGGCCCAGGGGGTATGGTAGCTTACGCAACCTACGGGTAGCGTGTTTGTCGTGGGAATCACGGAAACATGTACAGGATTGAACCATAGCAGGGCACGAGAGAATCGACATCATTTCAAAGGTCCAGCGTTGCCTCTCGCGTACTCAGCCGTCTTTGCGACGAAGTAGGAGATACGTGAAACGACTCCTATCGTTGCCCATGGAACACACCTCACCCCTCACGCAGGTTGATGTCTATTAGCTCCGGGGAGGGAACACACGTCAAGGAGTTGATGCGGCGCACGAGGCGTTTCTTAGACGGGGTAGAGGCGGAGGAGGCCGAAAAGGAGCGGTTACAGATGCTGCGGCAGGCGGCAATGGGAGGAGGGGGCGGGGGCGACGCAGACGAGGAAGGTGAGGAGGGTGGAGACAGCTGGGGGCTCCGAGGCTGCCTCGTTTTGTTGTTGGGTGGTTCACGTCTTGCCGCTGTGGCGACTGTTCCTGATTTCCTCTGAGAGTCTGAGTTGTTTTCCTTGGAAACGCAGTCCTGGAGATAATGAAGGCTTGGCGTTTGTTGCACGGAGTTGGCAGGAATGCGGGGACAATTTTTTGTGTTTTCCGTCGTCATATTGGATTGCCGTCGCTATTGCTTCTACTTATGATGTGACATTTTCTCTCTAGGCGAAGAGTTCCCATGCGCGATAAGCCACTAGCAAGACGCCGTTCAGGCGGCGAAAATAATGAATTCTCGCGGATGTACTATTTAGCTGAAACAGAAAAAAGGCCGTTTCTACCTGATCTTGTGGCCCAATCGTGTCGAACTGAATTTTCCCCCCTTAAAATCCCCAACGCTCTGTCCCTTCATGTGATACGACAAAGGCTGCATTAATTGCCGCTTGAGGTGCTCTAGCCATGAGCTTGGTGCCAAGTTTCAACCCACTGCAGGAGAAAGCAGTGCTCTCTTTCTTCTCTTTGTTTCCTTACATCTTTGGGTTGTCTGCACCCATACCTAGCACCCACTAGCTCAGACGTACCCACTGGTCCCAAAACCATCACCCTGGCACCAAACACGTTTTTTCGGGACGATGTTTGACAGCCACATCATCCGGTTGGATTGACTGTTGTGGAAACTGGCCGTCGCTGGTTTTTGTACCCCTCACTCCCTTACCCGTGATAGGATAGACAGACTAGGGAAAACACTTTTGAGCCACCCTTGGCAAAGTAGGAAGGGACGATTGGCCATCGGTGATCGATCCTGTGGGAACAATGCTCCGTCCTCTCGAGGACGCGTGGTCGTAGCCGCTAAGGCATGCAAAACATAAGAGTACCCCCCCCCCCCGCCCCCCGCCCCCCCGTGGCCCGTGTGTATGCTCAGAAGTTATCTCGGAAGACTCGGCAAGAGTATTCGCGGATGGCGCCAACCGCTGGCTGATTCGCGATACCAGGCTGGCGCAGATGTCGCTCAACACCGATTGGGAATACTACGGGGCCGTCGACCGCTTCTTGAAGGCGAGACCTGCTGCTGCTGCGTTTGCCGCGTGTGGTGCTTGCTGATGTCAACGTTTTCACGCACAGGACAGGTCATGAGAGCTAGCTCACGTATATCCTGCCGATCACCATGGAGCGCACCTACACAGCTCACCTACATATATGCTATCGATCACTAGGGACTTGGTGCCCTTCTAACTCGATCTGTAGGGATCTGATCTGCCCTCTGTGTGAATGTCTTCGAAAGCATAGTATGCGCTGGCCTCGCGATGCTGGAGTAATGTTCCTCTTGTCTGCGATTAGCCTGGACCTTTCCCCTAGCCTGTTATGTAGCCTACGCCCACTCCTGTTGACAAAAACCTCTTCCTGTTGCCCGATATAGTCTAGGCTCCCGTAGCCTGCATCATTTTCCTGTGATCGATCCAGTCTCTTCCCCTCTAGCCCTATCTCCATGTGTTTGTCCCATCTAGCACCCGTCTACACGTTTTTCGGCGCATGTCTTTGACGTATCAGCCGCGGCCGCACAACAGGAAGGTCACACAGGAGTTTGTTTTTGTTCATTTTTTTTTTGTGTCCCACCTTTCCTTCTGCAGTACTCTCTATGGCGAGCAATATTCTCGCGTTTCCCCATAAGAAGAGACGACGATCCAGACCAGTCCGACATTAGGGAGTTGTTCACCCCGAGGCTGTCGTTGAGTTTTTTGTTTGGCCGACCTAACGGGCGCGGGAGCAGTACGCTGCTCACGCATCTTGTCTGCGATGTCCAATAACGACACGGCGGCATCAACCGGCGTGTACTCATGACGGCTGCTCTTGTCTTCCATTTTTTTTTCATGTTTCTTAATATCTCACCAACGAATCAATCTCTATCCACAAGCAAGCGTGCAGGACCAATTAGCAATGAAGCAACAAATCCATCTCAATCCACAGACGAGAGTCCAGGACCAACTAGCAATATGCAGCGAATCCATCTCAATCCACAGACGAGAGTCCAGGATCATTGGCCTAAAACCATTATTTATTTATTTATTTTTTCTGGCAGGTGATGGAGTCTCTCGGTGTGCTGCAGGAGCTCCGAGAGGAAGGCGCCACGGACGGGGACGTGGTACTGGTGGGGGAAAAGGAAATCGCTCTTGCGGAGCCCCCCGCCAACTTGAGCTGATTGCTCGGGATTTGGATTTTGTCGCCCTTGTCCGAGGGAGTGAAAGGGTGCACCGGTTACCACGACCTGAAGCGTTCTCACCTAATTTAGAAATAACTGAAAAAGTTTTCGACCCAACACTGCAACCACCGGCCATGTTGACATCAGATAGAACACAGCACTTTCGGTGCCACGTCCAGCATGAATGTTTAAGTGCGTTTTTCACGCTGTGTCTCCTACTTGGGCATGCTTTCACTCTTGTTTATTGGTGTTTCGGGGGAACAATATCGTGCGAATGCTAGCGATGATGTGGGTCCCACTTGGGCGCGTGCTTTCACTTGTGTTTTTGTCTTGCGGCGCAATAACGTTGTTCGAAGGCTGGCGATAGTACGGGCTCCAATGGGAGGTCGGACGGGGCAAGCTGGCTGCGTTTCCGCTTGTCGGTGGCTCATGTGATCATGATGAGATCTGCCTCGAAAAACGTCTTGGGCTACTGCTTGGATAAACACAGACAAAGATCTTTGTTGTGCTGACAGCTCCTTCGGGGATGTGCACCAATCAAAAGCAATCCCACCAGTCATGGATGCCACAAAAAAACGATTTGGGGCCTCAGTCGATCGGCAAAGAGCACCCACCAGTTGCCGTTTCGATACTGATGGCAACATGCTTGCCATGTTTGTTTCGATTTGTTTCTTGTTCATCATTCGATTTTGTTCTCTTTGACACATCGTCAAAGTAACGTCACGCAAAACAGGCCGAACTGGCAGACACTCCTTGACATGAACCGACACTCGGCCGTGTCCCAGCCGTCAGCATCAATGGGAGACACTGTTTGGAACTGAAGCCCGTCATGATGAAGCTGGTATCAAACACAAGTCGTACAGTACGTCCTAACCTAAGGCACTGACGATCAAAACATCGCACTCACTCAATACCACAACGCAGGCACGCTCCCTACAAGACTTCTGCACACGAAAAAATTATACTTCTATCACGCATCTCTATCGCACATACAGGACCGACAAACACCACACACCACGAAAAAAAAACAACTACAATAACCACCGTACGTACAGGATAACCTCCGAACCCATCTCTGGCGGAACGGAACCAACCGAGAAAAAGAAGGAGAGTCGTGAGCATTCATCGGGGAAACAAAAAAAGACGCGAAGTATTCAGACCCCACCTTACATTCGAATCCGAAACATCAGCAACGAACCACTTTGTCATCCTCTACTCCTCGCCGCCCTCCTGCTCGTTGTCGGGGTTCTCGCGGTTCAAACGCCCCAACAACGGAAGCTTGTTCGGGAACGACCCGTCGCCGACGTGCCCACGGAGTACGCCACGGCCGCCAACAACGCCACAAACACCACGTCCGACCCCGCGTTCGACAAAGGCGCCAGCTTGACAGCATCGGCCCCCAACATCCCCCCCGTGATCGCACCCACTACCCCCGGCAAGATCAGAGCGATGTCCAGGTTGATGGCCTGCTGCATGTTGAACCTCACGAGCTTGTTGACCCGCGGGTTGCTGGAGCCGATGGACAGGCTGAAGAACCCGATCAGAGTCGCGAACGGCAACGACCGCAGCGCCAGCAGCACGGCGGCCAGCGGCTGCGCCCACGCCGTCTGCTCCGGGAACGCGCCGAACAGGTGGGCGGCGAACAAGATGCCATCAGCTAGCGGAAGCAGGTACGGCAGCGCGGACAGCGCCTTGTCGGCGGTAGTGGCCGGGCCGTCGTTGACATCGCCGGGAGATACCACCACCGCCCCTGTGTCCGGCCTCATCTTGTCGTCCATCTGGCGCTGGCGCTCCTCCAGGCGCGCCAGGCGCTCGTCCTCCCGCTGCTGGCTCAAGAGGTTCTCGAGCCTCGTCCTGAGCTCCTCCGTGGGGGCGAACTCTGACTGCTGCAGCAGGCCGTCCCCGTTCTGGTCGTAGGTCTGGATGAGCTTGAGTGCGAGTTCGTCGGGGAAGAGGGTACCTCCCGGGAGGCCGGCGATGCGTTCGTCCACCTAATATGTTGTGAGAACAAGGGGAGGGTGAAGGGTAGGGTTGGAGGGAGGGGTGGTAGGAGTATGGTGAGAGTTGGGTCGATGATTTCGGGAGAGGCAGTTATGGATGGGTGCGCGCAACAAAGGGCGATATTTTGAAAACGTATGACAAGAATCTTACGCTTGCTCCAAAGACAAACCCGGATCATTTTCCTACCAACCAACCGAGATTCAGCGCGTGGCTTACGCAACCCTGCATCAACAGCAATAGTGCAAGGCAGCGGCGAAGAGCAGCCAATCATCGACGGGGCCGGGGGGTACGGCCTAAAGGTGCATTGGTGATTTTAGAGCGTATACAGGAATAATCCGATTGAATGGAGAGTTTGATGTGGACAATTTCTCAAGTGTGAGGTAGTGCCGGAAGCGTGTTTTGGTCCAGAAGGAACTTTTAGGAACATCACAATAGTATGGTGGAGTTTGTATTGCAAAGTCTAGGCCGATGATCGGAAACGAACAAAACAGTCGCTGCTGACACCGTCATCTACGCTGCCTGAAATTTGACGGTACTGTAGCTCACTCACCCAAACCGCAAAACGCTCAACGTATTGTAAGGACACAGAAGAAATAAATACTTCGCCAAACCCGATCCCTACCACTTCTCTCTCGACTCACTTCTTCTTTCGACGGCTTGCGCCCCATGCGAGCCTGCAGCGTCTTCGTGAAGCTCCGACGCAGCGGGCTTTCGAGTCCTGCCTTGAGCTCGGCGATGTCCACCGATCCGTCCTTGTTGGAATCGAAGGTGTTGAACGATCGCAGGGCGTTCTCGCGTCGCTCTCGCGCCTGCTTCTCCTCCAGCTCGGCAGCTTCCGCGCGGAAGGCGGCTGCGGTCTCTCGGAGCTTGGCCGCCTTCTGCTCCGCGACCTTGCTCACCATGCGGAGAGAAGACGTGGCCGGCATTGCCGACGACCGGCGGAGAGTGTTGTGGCGCGTGGCTGCGGCGGACGTGGACGACCTGACGGCACGCTGAGGGTTGGCCAGGGACCACGAGGCTCCGCGGCCGATTGGAGCAACGAAGGCGGTGGTGGAGCCAAGGGAGAGGGCCAGAAGTGGGATCGTGGTTGCTGAGAGGGGTGCCATGGCTGCTACTGTTGTGGTGTTGGCGTTGTGTCGTTGTGTTGAATGTCGTGTTGGTGTGTTGACGGCGCCGTAAGTTGCTGGTTACTGCACTATGGGCGAGAGTGACCAGGGTGGCGTGAGAGGTGGATGGGTTGGTGTGTGCCAATCAACACGCAGTTGCTCTCTGTCTCAGGGGGCAGTCAGGAGTGGGGCCGTCAGAATGTGCTCTGTGCGTTGTGAAGGAGAATCTCTACCAATATCTTGGCTCAAGTCAGAGACAACATGACATGAGAAGTTCCTCCACGTCATGCCCGGTTCCACCGCGTTTTCGTGTGTCAGCGGTCAGCGGTCAGCGAAACATGAAACATGCTGAAGTTAGTAGGACGGAATGCGGTCAAACTCAGCGAATCTGACAGCAGCTGACAGTCCCGCCCAGAGTCAGGGCAACGGCAACAGCAACAACCGAAAACGCAACCTTCTGACGGCTCCACTGCTGACTGCCTCTTGAGCCAGAATGCATCTGAGTCTGGATACACCAAGCGTCTCTCGCCCCACCGTGATCACTCTCACCCATCACCAACAACCAGCAACCATCTGCCAACAACACACCCAAGCACGATTCCTACGAATTCGCCGGACGTCTACAGCATGGCGCCCCTCTCAGCAACCACGATCCCACTTCTGGCCCTCTCCCTTGGCTCCACCACCGCCTTCGTTGCTCCAATCGGCCGCGGAGCCTCGTGGTCCCTTGCCAACCCTCAGCGCGCCGTCAGGTCGTCCACGTCCGCCGCAGCCACGCGCCACAACACTCTCCGCCGGTCGTCGGCAATGCCGGCCACGTCTTCTCTCCGCATGGTGAGCAAGGTCGCGGAGCAGAAGGCGGCCAAGCTCCGAGAGACCGCGGCCGCCTTCCGCGCGGAAGCTGCCGAGCTGGAGGAGAAGCAGGCGCGAGAGCGACGCGAGAACGCCCTGCGATCGTTCAACACCTTCGATTCCAACAAGGACGGATCGGTGGACATCGCCGAGCTCAAGGCAGGACTCGAAAGCCCGCTGCGTCGGAGCTTCACGAAGACGCTGCAGGCTCGCATGGGGCGCAAGCCGTCGAAAGAAGAAGTGAGTCGAGAGAGAAGTGGTAGGGATCGGGTTTGGCGAAGTATTTATTTCTTCTGTGTCCTTACAATACGTTGAGCGTTTTGCGGTTTGGGTGAGTGAGCTACAGTACCGTCAAATTTCAGGCAGCGTAGATGACGGTGTCAGCAGCGACTGTTTTGTTCGTTTCCGATCATCGGCCTAGACTTTGCAATACAAACTCCACCATACTATTGTGATGTTCCTAAAAGTTCCTTCTGGACCAAAACACGCTTCCGGCACTACCTCACACTTGAGAAATTGTCCACATCAAACTCTCCATTCAATCGGATTATTCCTGTATACGCTCTAAAATCACCAATGCACCTTTAGGCCGTACCCCCCGGCCCCGTCGATGATTGGCTGCTCTTCGCCGCTGCCTTGCACTATTGCTGTTGATGCAGGGTTGCGTAAGCCACGCGCTGAATCTCGGTTGGTTGGTAGGAAAATGATCCGGGTTTGTCTTTGGAGCAAGCGTAAGATTCTTGTCATACGTTTTCAAAATATCGCCCTTTGTTGCGCGCACCCATCCATAACTGCCTCTCCCGAAATCATCGACCCAACTCTCACCATACCCCTACCACCCCTCCCTCCAACCCTACCCTTCACCCTCCCCTTGTTCTCACAACATATTAGGTGGACGAACGCATCGCCGGCCTCCCGGGAGGTACCCTCTTCCCCGACGAACTCGCACTCAAGCTCATCCAGACCTACGACCAGAACGGGGACGGCCTGCTGCAGCAGTCAGAGTTCGCCCCCACGGAGGAGCTCAGGACGAGGCTCGAGAACCTCTTGAGCCAGCAGCGGGAGGACGAGCGCCTGGCGCGCCTGGAGGAGCGCCAGCGCCAGATGGACGACAAGATGAGGCCGGACACAGGGGCGGTGGTGGTATCTCCCGGCGATGTCAACGACGGCCCGGCCACTACCGCCGACAAGGCGCTGTCCGCGCTGCCGTACCTGCTTCCGCTAGTTGATGGCATCTTGTTCGCCGCCCACCTGTTCGGCGCGTTCCCGGAGCAGACGGCGTGGGCGCAGCCGCTGGCCGCCGTGCTGCTGGCGCTGCGGTCGTTGCCGTTCGCGACTCTGATCGGGTTCTTCAGCCTGTCCATCGGCTCCAGCAACCCGCGGGTCAACAAGCTCGTGAGGTTCAACATGCAGCAGGCCATCAACCTGGACATCGCTCTGATCTTGCCGGGGGTAGTGGGTGCGATCACGGGGGGGATGTTGGGGGCCGATGCTGTCAAGCTGGCGCCTTTGTCGAACGCGGGGTCGGACGTGGTGTTTGTGGCGTTGTTGGCGGCCGTGGCGTACTCCGTGGGCACGTCGGCGACGGGTCGTTCCCGAACAAGCTTCCGTTGTTGGGGCGTTTGAACCGCGAGAACCCCGACAACGAGCAGGAGGGCGGCGAGGAGTAGAGGATGACAAAGTGGTTCGTTGCTGATGTTGCGCCCCTTAGTTGTACATACACTGGATAGATCTGTCGGTGCATTACTCCATGGTTCACCAGGAGGTTTGGCATGCTTGTTGTGTTCATCGGAGCGGTCTTGGGTGGAAGAAGGCTTGAATGTCCTGATTGGCCGTTTTTCTTCTAGGCTGTTGCAGTTTTGTAACGTCCATCAACCGAAGACGGGGCGTGTTAGTTTGTACAGCAGTTGCGGCCCGCCTGCAAGAAACATCAACTTGGAATCGAGGCTCAATTTCCTTTGTGGTTACCACCGTCGAGCATAGGTCATTGCATATGTATGAGTTTAGGGTATCCACGACTGAGTGAGGTGTGTTTCTTGGTCGATTTCTACTCTTCTTGTTTACAATGAAAAAATTGAGCCTAGTTTTCGTAAGTCAATTGTTCTTCATGGCGGGCCTCAACTGCTGTATGCGATGTATGTCTACATAGTGTTTGGGCGCGGCGGGCGTGTAAGGTGTGTCTTGTACGTGATGGAAATGTCTAGTGTTTAGAAGGGGCGTAGGTGTCTGGTATACAGGAGCGGATGGAGACTGTCAAGGTCCAGCTTATCGACGACGTTGCAAACCAGTACGACTGTGGCACCATAACACGTCGATGTAGCCCTTTTGGGGAATCCAAAATTAATTGTAGATGGTTCATGAGGGTCCCCATTTGTACTGTGTGTAGCGCACAGACTCGTCGTTTCTGTGGGGGTGCTGTCGGTTTCAGGCACGAAAATATGTGGAAATATACATGTCGGGCTACATCTGTTTACTGTTGTTAGAGGCATCATCATTGAAAGCAAGTTCTTGACACGGCATGGCGCCGGGATTCATCGTGGGGTTACCTGTGTGCATACATACGCCCTTCCGTTGTCAAGGCAGACGAGAGGAAATAGCGTGTGAAGAAGGGAGAAGGGGCGTTGAGGCTACAGAGATGTCAGGAAACAATGTACATTTGACGGTACAAGTGAAAAAGGTTAATAACACGGAAAATGTATGTGTCGAGTACGAAGGTCAAATGGCGACTAAATGTCACCGTTGTCATCGAAACAAGGCCATCGTGTGTGCCGTTGATCGACCAGTGGCCCGATTCCCAACTTGGAGGATTGAACGAACATGTTCTCTCCGCATCAAAGATGGAGCGTCGTCCTTGTTGTCGTCCCATTCCAACGTGCGCACGTATACATGCTGGTTGTCTCCCAACCTTGTGCCCGATCGGGATGTCGTTGCAGTTGGGCCATTCTCTGGCCCGTTGCTTCGAAAGGACACTGAAAGCACGCATTGCAACCGTTGCCAAGTGGAAGCAACACAACAAAAAGAGTGGCGACATGCTTACCGCATGAAAGAAACGTAACGTAGACAATACGCACAGCATCAAATGTTGAATATTTTTCTACGCTCGGCTAAGAGACTCTCGCCCCCGGACCGAACAGCCGGCAGAGGAGCGCTGCATCCCCGAAAACGGAGTTTGCCTTTCAGGCGTTTCGAATCTCGCCTCTGGTCCTCACTTAGATGCTCCAGCACCGACCCTTCTAATTCGTACATGGCTTCGTTCATATCATACCAGGAACCCACAAAACATTGGTATTGGACAAGCAACGCCATGCACACCCAACAAGCATGATGGGGTCGCCCCCAAGCCAATATACAACCGATGCGGGAACCAACACATTGCCCTCACGAGAGCACCGACTCCAGATCCACAGCACTGTAATTCACTACCAAAAACACGCCTTCCGTCAGGCTACTACTATGATATACTACACCTCCACAAAATTTCGACACAAAATACAGAAGACCATGCGACTTCATAAATATCGCCACCACCAAAGAAGGGATTCCCTCATATTCTCACCGGGGCACATGAAAAAAAAAGACCAGCATCGCTACCAAGCGCTGCGTGGAAGCTGGTGCCAACATACGATACAAAACGTTCGTGTCACGCACACGCAGGGCACACAATTTTTCGATGGGATCCACAGATAGCCCCCCCCCCGCCCGCCCCGACTCAAATACAAATACCCACAAACACATCCCCGTGTTGAAGTTATTCAGCCGCCCAACCACTGTTCAACCCAACACGCAAATGCTCCCGGCATATGTTTGACGCCGTACGCCACAGCGAACCACACTGCTGTGTTTTGACTTGCACACGGGGAATGCGTCTAAATGCTGCAAGAGAACAAAAATAAAAATGTGCAGCAGTGGCGAAACTTTGAAATCAAGAAAAGCCACCGGCACAAGCCAGGCGAGTAGCGCCTGGCCTAAAAAACAAATCTTGATAATAAGAACACACAAGACTGGCGCGAACGGCCTAACGTTTTTGAGCCAGGCGTAGGTAGACAACGACCACAAAGTCCTTACTGAGGTGCTCCCACCTGCCTCTCCTGTCCGGACTCGACAACCAAATGTCATAAACATTTGAGATGGTTTACGCTACGAACAAGAATTCAACCAGGATTACACCACCACACCCACGCTAAGCGGACAAGAATAAAAACTCACATACAACCTTTATTATTGATCGGCCACACGGTCGACCGAGCAATCATCCAAAACCAAGTGCTTGCACGCAGCTCTGGTTGGTGAATATCGTAAAACACAAGTAGTAACATACGTTGGGGATAACATGTATTTCCACAGCCCCATTCGACATAAATAAGCGACAACTCGCCCGTTAACCAGTCCGTCCCACCATAAAGCGCCAGCAGCAGTACTCTGAGAAGGCGAGGGTGTTCTATTGCTTGCTAAACTGCAGAACACATGCGAGTCGTCAAGCGCCCAAGGTTAGACAACCCCCCCGACACAACCACGGAAATTAGAAACCTCGTCCAAAAATGAAAGCGGCTCTTGCTCGCAGGAGGCGTCAATTGACGGGTCCATCGAAGAACAACTTACATTCCCGAGGGTATCAACATCCAAGAAAGACGAAAATGAAGTCCGCTTTGCCCAGTTACCCCCGAGAAACGACGGTCAAAGCGCGAACTGCGGGACCCCCGCCCCCCCCCCCCCGGCCCCCTTCTTTTTTTTTTTTTTTTTCGGGGCGAGGGGGCCCCCCCCCAGGGGGAACCCCTTATGGGGGGCCCCAAAAAGAAACCTTTG